GTGTCCCGCCAACCTCCCAGAAACCCTCATGCTAAAACCCATCTTTGTTGAGATGCGTGCACCACCAGGAAGTACCCTGAGTCAGAGCAAATATGGGCACAAGCAAGATGATTGACCAGAGGCAACCGGGAAAGCTAACCCCATTACCATAAAACCTGAGACAGCAAGCCACATGGTAGAGCAGTTCTCCTGGGTTCCCTTACCCTGCTTCTCCCCTCCTGGATGCCCCTTCCCAATAAAGTCTTTTGCATTGTCGGTATGTGTGTCTCCTCCGACAATTCATTTCAGAGTGTTAGACAAGAGCCCATTCTCGGGCCCTGAAAAGGGTCCCCTTTTGGTAACAAAACTTATTAACCTTCATGGGCTTAATTACAAGCACAGTGCTTATCAGTGGAAGGTAAGCAATAGATTTTTTTTTCACTAATTGCTTTTAAAATTAAAGTCACTTGAAATAATCCAGGATTCTGAAATAATTTCAACAGAGATATTGTTTTGGTAGTGAAAATACAATTTAATATCTGGAGCAAAAGAACCTAAAAGACTTTTGGAACTCAGTTTTTAGGTGCACCCCAGCCTTCTAATCCATTGCCTCTCTTTTAGAGTCATACTAAGGTGTCCATGTCCTATTAATGTTCACATGTTTATATACCTCTAAAATCACAAGAGTATGATGGTAACTTAGGCACACAGTTATGTGTTTGTTAATTCCAACAATAATTGACTATTGCCAATGTTCCTGTGAGTGTAGGGCTCCCTGATCTAATCTCCCACTAACCTCCTTCTTGTTTGGTAAGATCCAACCACTCTGGTCTTCATTTCTTGATATTCAACTTCTATTCAACATCATTCAACTTCCAACTCAGGGGTTCCCATATTCTGTTCCCTCTGCTTGAAGGACTTTCCCATCTCTTTGTATGGTGAGCCTATTCCATCTTGCAGTGTTTGGATTTAGTATCACCTCTTGAGCAAGACCTTCCCTTATCCTCTCCCTTGGAACACTTGTGTTCCTCTTTTTAACCAGAACTGAGCCAATACCTTGTATGTATAGAATTGTTTTCTTATGCATCATCTGCCTCCCCTGCTTTAATGAAAGGTCATAGGGACAAAAAAAACAGTTTTTTTTTTTTTTTTACAATATTCATATGTCTTGTTTCTAAAATAATGTTTGGTGCAAGAGTGTTCTCAATAAATATTGTTAGATAAAAAAAATTCTGATTTCACTTGAACAGTTCCTCAGATAATATCAAAGTTTCTCAACCTCACCTCTGATGACATTTTAGGCCAGGTAATTCTTTGTCATGTGAATTGTAGGGATGTTTAGCAGCATCCTTGCTTACACCCAACAGATGCCAGTAGTACCCACCAGTTGAGACAAACAAACATGTCTTAAGACCTTGCTAAACATCCTTTGGGGGACAAAACTGTCCCTGATTGAGAATGATTGTTATAGACCCACACAATAAATAAACTAAACAATGAAGGAGGACATGTGGGCTTTCACTTGTCCTTGTCCCCTCCAAATGATGGAGATTTTTATCTTCCGCAGATGTACCATATTGGGAAATGTGGAATTTGGATCAAATTGTATGAAAGTTTAAGTTTTGACTCTACTTTTATAATATTGAAAAATAAGAATAATACAGCAGTACTTGCACAAATCAATATTACTGAGCACATAAATATATTAGTGCCAGCCACTGAGTCAAGCGTTTCATATACCTTAAATCAGCGGTCCCCAACCTTTTTGGCACCAGGGACCAGTTTCATGGAAGACGATTTTTCCATGGATGGGGTCGGGGGATGGTTGAGGCAGTCATGAGAGCGATGGGGAGCGGTGGGGAGCGGCAAATGAAGCTTTTCTCGCTCACCCAACGCTCACCTCTTGCTGTGCGGCCTGGTTCCTAACAGGCTGCACACTGGTAGGGGGTTGGGGACTCTGCTTTAAATTATTTAGTCTTACCACTCCATGGGGTAGGCACTGCTATCCAGTTTTACTGAAAGGCACTGAAATGGCACCTTTCTACTAAAAGGTCAGTTCAATGGAGCAAGGTGAAAAAGCTACTAAGTGAAGAAGACAGCATTGGGATTCAAAAGGATGACTCCACAGTCTGTTCTGAACTGTCCCATATGGCAGCCACTAGCCAAGCCACTAACCCTCATGCAGCTATTGACTAGAAGTGTCATTAGTCTGACTTGAGCCTTGATGTAACTGGAAAATACTTAATGAAAGAGGATATTTCAAAGAATTATGGAACAAGAGAATGTAAAACATCTGAATAAGTTTTATATTGATGATATGTTTAAAGGATAATATTGAGTTAAAATATATGATTAAAATAAATGTCTCTCCTGCTTATTTTATTTTTTTAATATGGCTGATAGAAAATTTACAGTTACTACTGTGGCACACATTTTTGTTTTGCATATTTCTATTAGGCAGTACTAGCTTGTCTTCTTTATTATTTCCACTCTGAACCTCCTTTACTTCTTCCGTATATTGGGTATAATGATAATAACAATGAGTCTACACAAGTTAGTTGTGAGTTTCAGTGATATGCTACATATGAAGGTCTTCATAAACTGTGGAACTCCCTCCAAACCTCGGCTATTTAATGAAATGACATGAGAAATTAAAAATTAGTTTTCCGCATGTTAGGTGACTTAGACTATCAAGTAACATTTTAATTGCCATGACTGAGTGTTCCCAACAGTAAGATATGGTTGCAAATGTTCATAGGAGAAAAGATAATTGAGAAAACAAAGATACATAAATTATGTTTCCATCTATAATTAAACAATAATGAGACAAGATACAGGATGCTCTAAAACTTCTTGTAATATATTGTGTTGTACATCTGGAGTTGGTCATGGACTTCAAACCACCTCTGCTATTACTTGCAGTCGGCCTTAATGTGTATAATGTTCGTTTTCTCATTTGTAGGATGGAGATCAGAATACTGACCTCAATGAGTTGTTTTGATAAAATAAAGTAGGTCAGTAAATAACTAATACAGGGTGAAATAAAAACGCCATTCAGAAAACATGTTATGCTATTGCTGTTTCTTTTTTTAATTATTATTACTATTATTATTATGTCAGGCTTGTGTAATGTGCCTACCAGACACCAACCACAAATTCTGACTTAACAAAAGAAAAGAAAGTAATTAGTGAATGAATTAATAAATGTGTTACAGTAGAAGAAAAATGATAAAATGAATTTTTATCAGATATTTTCATCTTTCAAATGTCTAGTTTTTCCATTTAATTAGAATCTATTAATTTGCTTATCAAATGCATAATTTTTAAATGGACTGTATTTTGGACACGTGTATATATGTTCCTGAGAATTTAAACTATAATAATCCTCTTAATGGTCATTTATTACTCACAAGATATGTTTTTCACAAATATTTTTGCTCATTGTGGATTATGCAACCACTTGACAGTTTGTTCTCCTATATTTGCATGTCCATTCTCCTGGTAACAGGATCATGCTAAGAGGTGGTTAGAAATACATATAAAATGTGAAATTTAAATTGTAGTGCAACGAGGCATGTCTTTAGACCTGTTCTAAAAGAACTATAAAGATTTATTACTGGTTTGCTTTTCCCTGCTGATGCTAAAGGTAACCTGAAGTTGAAACCTGATAATTTGAAAACAGCATAAGCAAACACCCTTCTCTGTGTTTTGGGCCAAACACCACAATACCAATCCTGAGGAGCATGTACCTTAAATATCTAACAAAATATCATAAAAATACATAAGCATATGATTAGTCCACTCAAGAATATTCTCTCTGAATTTTATAATCTTTCCACACATGTGATTTTAAACAATTCAACTAAAATCATGCACTATTAATAATCAAAGTTAGATAAAAATAGTACAAGAAAAGAGGTGAAATGCTTTTAAAGAGTCAAAATAATACAGTGAATTCTTAGACTATAATTCTTTCTGTGTAATGGTCTTTAGTATAAAGATATAAATATCACAAAAAGCTATTGCTTTTTACACTTTAATACTTTATCACAAAGTTATTTAAGGCAAAAAACAAACTAAAATTGGGGGATCAATTTAGAAGTTAATACACAGCAAATGTTAAAAAGTAAAAACACAGATCATACTAAAGCCTGTGTTTTATGCCACATTTCCTAACAATGTGAGATTCCATCTTGAAGTAAAGGGTCTTTTAGATTAGCAGGAAATTGGATGAGTCTTGGCGGTGTCCATTGAAACCTAATATCATCCTCTCTAGCTGCATGTCTACCAAATTTGTGTAAGAAAGGAGAATAAATAAATATAATTATATGGTCAGAAGCTAATGGTTCTTAATCTCTTCTTGACTTATTTTGAGAATTTGAAGGTTTCATTCTAAACCACAAATCTATAAATAAATCAAAAATACAAAATGTTTTAGTATGATTGCCATTCCAAACACAGATGTTACATGCAAGTCTGACACAGTGATATTACATGGAAGTCTGATTAGTTTGTAAGGTTCCCCCTATGTAGTTCTTTCTGGCTAAGTTCTTACAATATGGCAAATTAGTTATTTTATTGAAAAATTTTACCCTTCGGTTAGAATCTTTCTTATTAAATTCTAAGTAGAAATAAACACATTCATTGTAGAAGTATAATTTAGTTTTTATTTTAATAAAACATTTCCTTTGCTGACAGAAATCGTTCTTAGATGATAGAGTATATATATGTATATATATATATATATATATATATATATATATATATATATATATATATATAGGGAGTGATTTTGTGATCATAGATCTCTCTGTCTCTGAATGAACTATGTTTGAAATATTTAACTTTTATCTTTTGATAACAGTGAATTCATCAGCATATACATCTATTTTTTTTTCTTCATTTTTGTAGCACATTTTTGGTCTGTTTTAAATGAAATGATTGACAATTGCTTTTTCTCCTCTTTTCTGTTTTTACTCTAAAGCTTTTGCCCTGCAGAAACACCATTAAAGACAGCTTACTCTGGGGGAAGCGCGGTGGATTGTCATTGACGTCTGTCAGCGTGATGTTGACCGTGGTGGTCCCCGATAAGCCTCCCATCTGGCCACCCATGTCTTTGGCCTGGATTACCACTTGATATTGCTCCCTGTTTTCTCTGTTCATGTTTGGTAAAGCAGTCCTGATGATACCTTGAAGAAAATGGAAAAACTTTTATTATGCTCATTAAAATCTCAATTATTAGTTGATTAAGCTCACAAATTGTAAATCCAAAATAGTAGTGATTTTTGAAAGATGAAAATGCTTTTGCTATTAATTTTTATTGTCTAGAAATTGTAAAAGTGATTCTATGTAAATATTTGCCGATTTGTGTTGTTTTTCTTTTCCTAAAGAATATCATATGTGCTGTCTAGTGCCCTAAACCCAGATGCAAAAACATAAAAGCAGGTATATTCCCATTAGCTCACTCGATCATTCAACTCTGAGTTCTTAAATCTTTAACTGTGGCATCATCACTCTTCTGTGAGTATTAATGTTAGGATTTTGTTCTTATTTTCCCACCTTTTTGGGGTTTTTTTGTTGTACGCGGGCCTCTCACTGTTGTGGCCCCGTGTCCCCTGCATCGGCAGGCAGACTTTTAACCACTGCGCCACCAGGGAAGCCCTTTTTAAATTTTTTTTTTTTACTTATAAATATCATAAAGACTACTAAATGAACAAACACTGATTCATGATTCCTGACCTGTTTCAGGTTCCACAGAGAAATATGGCTGCCCTTGAAGTATGCTGTAAATGACTCTGGCGCTGTTCCCATAGGAAGGGTCATCGGCATCTGTAGCTGTGACTTGCACCACAGAAGTACCTGAAGTATCCAAATTCAGCTTAGTTCTGCACAGTACCAGAAGGAGGAGCAAAAGCACTGGTTTTCATAGAAGACTTCAATGATTTTTGGCTTTAATAATGACCTCTTAAAGAAACATTCATATATAATTTAGATGAAAATAATATATATATAGTGTATTATAGGTAAACTTTGAATTCAACAACATATTTTATTTAGCCAACAGGTGTATTTTCATGCATGCAATAGATAATGCTACAGTGTATTAGATTATAATAAATGCAGACACTTTACAAATGCTTGGGCTTGATATTTAAATTCATTTTCACATAACAGATTTGTTTTGTGTAAAGGGCATATCTAATCACAAAGGAGTAAGTATGCTCTTTTTTCTCTCTCTCCACTAATTAACTATAAAAATAATTAACATCTGTTCTAGAATACGATTTTATGAATAGATTAAATTCTAAATTTAGAAACAATCCAAGATGATCCCAAGTCCCAAGAACTATTAGAAGCTATTTAATAAAGTTCAAAATATATAAAAGGGCTTTATATTAAGGTGATTGCCAAAAGTCCTTGGGATTTAGTGAAGTAAATATTAAATAATAATCTCTGAACAATGCTTTTGAGAACTACAGTTGGAAATTTTCTATTAAAATTGTTACAAGGAAAAAATGTATCAGAATTGTTTCATCAGTTTATATTTCTCCCACATTTGAGAAATGATCTATTCTACTAAATCCAAATACGTTATCTCTAAAAATGTTATTGTTTTTTGATGTTTACTTTTCTGTGGTTCTCTATTTAGCAAAAACATGAAATCAATTTTAACTTTCTTTGCCTACAAATACACCTTCCATTTGTTTACATTGAAAAAGGAATTCTATTTTCTTGAATGTTATACTTCCAGTTTTTTCACACCTTCTGTCTTACTGCTTCTGCAACCTAAATTTAAATTCTGTATCAGTTTGTGATTAGCTGTTGATTTTCAACTGGTTTATTTGAATAAGAGATTTATATCAGCAGAGTTTTATATATAATGGTTAAATTGAAAGGATGTTTTAAAATATTTAATATGAAGTAATAGAAAATCTAATTAATTCCAATGTTCATAACATCTAGATAATCCAGACAAGCTCTTTAGGCAAATTATGACTAGAGCATATATGTAGACTCTAGATTACATTTATGGTGTTCTAAGTGTACTTATAATATATTTGGAGTCAGGACTTTACACAGCTGTTCTCCAAATCCATGTGACAAAAATTTGCATTTTCATAGTTTTCTACTGAAGGTCAATGATATTTTCTTGGAGTTTTGAAGGAAGTGTCTATTTATTGTACTGTAGAAACTTACAAACCCATAGGAAATTAGAAATGCATTAATCCTTATTTTTTCCTGACTCGTTTCATAATTCAGAAAATTAAACACGTACTCTTAGCAGGGAATCAAATATGATTTCAAGTAATTGATCATAATATTTTAAGAATTTCTTGAGAATTATTTTTTATACTTTTTGAATACTGTCATAAACACTGCAAATGAACTTACCTACAACAGACATTTCGGGAACACTCGCTGTATAAATTTCCTCTGGGAATGTTGGCTCATTGTCATTGATATCATGGATTTTGATCACAAACTCAGACTCCGGTTCTACTGGCCTCAAAGTTCTTCTGTTAATAGCTTGTGCGCGTAGAGTATAAAAGGCCTTTTCTTCCCTATCAATTCTTCTTGTGGCATGAATGTCACCTGTTTTTTCATCAATAATGAAAAGAGTACCAGCTCCATCTCCAGATAAAATATATTTGAGGGATCCATCTCCTTTATCTTGGTCTGAATGAAGCTAGGGGGAATAAAAATGAACATATCCATGATAATGTCTAAAGATACATAATGCAGAAAGAATTCAAAGAAGGTCTCTCAAGTCACATCTTTGAAAAATGGGGTCAGTTATCTTAGTTCTTGAAACGAGAGTTGAATAAGTATGATCACACTCATCTATATACTTTAAACAATAGGACTAGCCTTTTACATATCAGTGTGATTTTTATTCTAAATGGAAAAAAATAATAAAAATAAACCAAACACAGCTCCTTTCTTTGCTTTGCTTGGTAAATAACAATTTCCGTAGGCAAATAACTCCTGACAAAGACATAAGTCATTAGTCTTGATATGCTGGTGTAAACATTGCTTCTCTCATCTCTTTCTTTGAGCGGAAAATACTTTTACTCTCATATTATGCAAGAAATTTATTTCCTGTAAACTTATTATTAATTATTGTATTTCTGTTGGGGAATTAGCAATATTTTAAGAACTGTAAGACAGACAAAGTTGCATGAGACATGACTTCTATGTTAGAAACCCTATCCATCATTCTCTGATTCACACGAACGACAACAACTGCCCCAGAAATATTTGTTGGGTTCAGAGCAAGAGTACGAATAGATGTCTATATAACACCTGCCTATATATTTTAAAGTTATAAATCAAATTAATAAACTATAAAATAAAATATGCTCTATCTAGTCTCCTACCTTGTCAAATCTATCTTCTTAACAACTGCAAACAACAAGTTCTGTGTAGAAACAATGCAATGTAGGGCAAGCCTTTTTCTTGCCTCCTTGCTTATGCCCACAACACTAATCTTCCACAATCTAGTCATCATGTCAAAGAGCTTGGCATGCATTCATGTGGATATATCAGCCTAGCCCACATCCCATCCCAGTGCTAATGCTTGTCCAGGGGACCAGGTGTCATGGGCAGATTCCATCTACTATTGCCCTGTGGTATCTGTGGGGGATTTGTTCCAGGACCCCCATGGATGCCAAAATCTGAGGATGCTTGAAGCCCTTACATAAAATGGCATAGTGCAGTCAACCCTCAGTATCCATGGGTTCAGCATCCATGGATTCAACCACCCATGGATTGTGCACTATGTTTACCACCTGTGGTTGGTTGACTCTACAGACACTGAGCCCACAGATGTGGAGGGGTGATTGTATATCGCTTTTTAACAGATGCACACTAGGCCAGCCCTCAGGATTAAGGGTACATATAACAATGGGTAAATCTGGCCGTTGGTAGACTGACTTGGAGAAGAGACTCTCCAGGACCTAGAAGCAAGTTCAAGGATGTTTGGGCAGGGAATAATGGGTCCCAAGTACTTCAAGGATCGTCTGGAAATGGATGTGTGGGTTCCAGATGTGAATATCCCCCTGCCTGTCATGGAATTCATACCCTGAGGGAGAGACTTAGCCATAGGAGGAATAGGGCATGGCTTTGTAAAACACAAGGATTGTAAGTTTTTCTCTAATTGTACCACCACACCAATAAATATATATTTTTTAATGCTAAGATCATGTTTCCTTATTTGCAGTAAGAGATTATGCTTTAAAATTTTTATTTTGCTTTTTATCTGATAAGAAATAGAAAAAGAATGTGTAGATTTTCCAAGTTTTGATAAAGCATATATTATAACTTAGATATCACCATGCACATGTTGTCTTTTTTAAATTTGAGGTATAGTTTTACAATATTGTGTTAGTTTCAGGTATACAGCAAAGTGATTTTGTTATATATTCTTTTTTAAAATTTTTTTCCATTATAGGTTATTACAAGATATTGAATATATTTTCCTGTGCTATACAGTAAACTCTCATTGTTTATGTATTTTATATACAGTAATGTGTATCTGTTAACCCCATACTCCTAATTTATCCCTCTCCCTCCTTCCCCTTTGGTAATAAGTTTGTTTTCTATGTCTGTAAGTCTGTTTCTGCTTTGTAAATAAGTTCATTTGTAGCATGTTGTCTTTTTTAATATTCATATAAAATATAGTCATAAATTGGAATAGGCATACTGACCTGTAGCCTAGAAAAATAAAAACTGGAGACAAAATCCTTCCATTATGCAAAATATTATAGAGTTAGATATTTATCTAAGTAGGTTTGACTTTTGCTCTTTAGATTATTGAAATCAACAAAAGTTTTAATCTATTTACCTGTAGAAGTATTACACTGATTATATTCTCTTTAAAGAAGAATTTTGTTTCTTTATTTGAAAGTTTCTTTTTCTTTATAGGAGCTTATATCAATGAACTTGGCTGTGAAAACATTTTTATGTGGATATCAAAAATGTTTAAATTAAATAAATATTTAACCCCCTCCCCAATATATTTTATTACTGGTTAGGTAATACAATATATAGGTAATACAATATATTATATACAACTGCTGGGTTTACAAAAGCAGTCTATATTTTTGTTAATGGTTTGTAATAATCAGCATTTAGCCATTAAATTTGGATCAAACTCCATTTTTTTGATTTTTGGATAAATAACTCAGTATTACAGATATAATAGGAAAAAAAACTCCAAATAGATACGTACTTTGGAGAAAAAGATATAGAAGTCAGGTAACAAATAATTTTTTACTGCATTTTTAATTATTCATAAACAACAAAGTAAGGTTGAGAAACAAGAAATATCTGCTTTTAACTAAACAGCTCTCAGAAGTAACATATGATTGTGTTGTCCAGGAAACTAGTCTCAGAAAATCACAAGAGGGGCTTCCTTCCCTGGTGGCGCAGTGGTTGAGAGTCCGCCTGCCGATGCAGGGGACACGGGTTCGTACCCCGGTCCGGGAAGATCCCACATGCTGCGGAGCGTCTGGGCCCGTGAACCATGGCCGCTGAGCCTGCGCATCCGTAGCCTGTGCTCCGCAACGGGAGAGGCCACAACAGTGAGAGGCCCGCGTACC